ATCGATGTTTCTGGACAAATCATCCACGTAGTTGCCACTTACATAGTTCAGGACCTTTTAGTTGATTTTTGGTGGTTTCTGAGCTTTTCTCCAGGAAGGGAACTACTGGCTGGGAAGGATGCCCGGACCTACAGGGTGAAGAGGGTGGCTGGCAGCTGACCGGACCTCCTCCTCTCCTGGGGGTTTTCATGGCCTGGAGTCCAGACGGGGCAGCCGATGTTGAAGCCCCTCGACGTTAGCAAGGTCGTAGTTACAGGCACCAGGCAAAGCTTTGCTCTTGATCTACAGCCCACGTCGCACTTAAATCACTCCGAGAGCACCAGTGACCTACATCGATATGGCACTTTCTGTGTCAGGAACTACTCACTTAATCCACGCCAACAACCTTGCAAGGTAAATGCTACTTTTAACCTCCATTTCTAACTGGTAGATCAGTTACCTCTTGCTGTAGGACCAATTAGGACCAATTATGCCCAAACTTACGGACTTCAAACCACAAGCGTTTATTTCACTCCCAATTCTGCAAGTCAGGTGGGCCCTGCTTCTGGCCGTGGCCGGACTGTCTGCTGCTGACCAGGACTGCCCTCCTCCACCAGGCTGGCGGCCGGCACGCTACTGGCTGGACGACACAAACAACTGAGCTGTTTTCCACCACACAGGGCTTGATGGCCCTGCCTTCTTCGTGTGGCAATTACAGTCTTAAAAATTAGCAAGAGAGCAAACCACACACACAGCGTGAACACTTTTGAGGTTTCTGTTGTGTCCTATTTGCTGCTGTCCCATTGGCCCAAACAAGCCACAGCCAGAGTCAAGGAGGGAGGGGACGGAAACCAAAGGACCCAGTGACGGGGGGCATGAGCCGAATGGGAGTAGTTTTGAACAGGCTACCAGAGCTGAGGGCACTGAGACCAAAGCAAATACCAGCTAACAGGTTCTCAGTACGTCAAGGACAGGAAACAGCTATCTGAATTAGGACACAGGAAGACAGAAAGACTGAAGTGGCTGATTCTTAGGAATAAAACCCATAATCCTCAGGGTGTCTGGGTGGCTCGGTCCATTGAGCGCCTGACTCTCGAACTCGGTTCAGGTCTTGCTCTCGGCGCTGTGAGTTCATGTCTTGCTCTGGGCTCCACGCCCAGTGTAGGGCCTACTTAAAAAACAAGAACAAAAACCATAATCTTCAAGAATGAGTGGGGGATTTTACACAGGAAAATGGCCTTTGAGAAGCCATCCTGTAGTAAGGCATATCCTATTGGGGTCTGGGCTGCAAAGAAATTGAATAAAAATTTGGGATTTTGGTATTTCCTAGCCAGGAAGGAAGGCGCTGCTGGGAGCAAAGATGAAGAAAGTGATTGTAAAGGAGATAAGAGACAGTCAGTGGAAGTGGTCCTATTTATCAATAAAGTCTGGTCTCAGGTTCCTGAAAAGGAAATGCCCTTAAATAGCCCCAATCCATGTCACCTGACCCAATCCCAGTGGGAAATGCAGTGAGGAATAGCTGGAAGAGTTTTCTATGTGACAAAATAATTTATGAATTTTTATTCTTTCATTCATTCGTTTTTTTTATTCAACTTCTAGAAATAGTCACTTTTACCTGGAGCCCCCAGTTTTCCTCTCTGGCTTGCTAGAAAAATCTCACACAGACTCAGAATCCCAAGAAACTATCACAAGCTGAAGGGTGCCTTTTGCTTTTCTCGGTCTAAAGTGCTTTTATTGCTCTTTACATATAAAGTTCCCTACAAACTGTGGGCTGATTTCTGTGGTTCGGGTGGCACGACACATTCAGGCAGACATAATGGAGGGTTTGGATTCATCTGCCTGGACTTTAGGAAGCCTCCAGTATGACATCACAGGACAAATCTGCAGAGCATCTTAGGGCTCCTACAGAAAGGCTGTTAGCATGCTGCTGCGTGCGGTCGGCACGGACGACAGTGCAGCCGCCCAGCACCGCGTCACGCACACACACTGAAAGGAGGCCTAGGATTTAATCATCACGTGTTGAGGCTGCTTGAGAACTTTATTGCCCATTCCTGTGGGGTTGGCATGACATTATGAGGGGTGAATGAGTCAAATTTATCTATGATGAGGGCCAAGAAAAGACTTCTATTTCCTTAGAAAATGGTTGTGGACAGAGTATTTGCTCCTCCAAGCTCCTTCAATTCCTGTGCAAGAATCTCCAGGCAGAGTTTCCCATTGATGTTTAGGAGGATGAGATGCAGTTTATTCCTAAACCTACAGGAACTCCTGAGAAAAGATCGCAGGCGCCAAGGAAGAAGCACGTACAATCCTCGGGCTTTGGAAAAATGAACAGATGGGAAAATTGCCTCAAGTTGGACTTTCTGGATTCCTTTTCCAAACTGGGCAGGTAGAAACAACTTTGTGCTCTTAGCATTTCCAAGTTTGGGTTCCAGCTTCAAATATGTATTAGTGAGGACAAAGAATTGTTTCCACAAAGGATCCACAAGGAACAAGATGTTGTCTTCTCTTTTCTACCGCCCTTCCTTATTGTGTACATTCTTTCTTCTTTACAGAAAACAGCATAGAACTGACTAGTCCAACAAGGTTGAGTATGAAGACAATTTGCTGAGTCTCCATAATGAGGTAAACACATGTTACCCATGAGAACATTCTTGGAAATCCACTTAGCCCCGTTAGCATCTCCTCTCACAGTATCCTTATCGTTGAGTTTCCAAGATAAAATCTTAAAACTGTTCAATAACATCTTTAAAGGAAGTAGAGATCTTGCCCACTTAGTCAAAAGCAAAGAGTCGGCTCAGACTGTCTCTGAGAGAAGACGGGCATGTGGACAACAGGTTTGCACCTACATGGCTCCTGGATGTGAGGTGGGGAGATAGCCTGTACCCTAAACTTGTTCGAGGACTATACTGGGCTCCTTGACTTCCCAAACATATGAAAGAAGAATGACTGGAGAAGCAATCCATCAGAGAGCTTTGCGAAAGAAACCGGAAGACTCAGCCTGTCTCCCAGAACTGGCAGAGGAAATGGCTCGTTACTCCTGGCCCAGATTCTCAGGTATGCTATGGGTTCTGGTCACTATTTCAGAAAGGAGAGGTAGAGCCAGAGTGGAGACTTCTTCATATCACCCACTCACGAAAACAAAGCTTCGTGGACAAGTAGAGGCTGGCGCCTCTGGTTTATACCGAAGAGACCGAGGCAAAGCAATCCAACCTGGAACCTCAAAAGCTTTCATTCATCCTTGAAATATCTACTGCAAAACAAAGACCAACTGACATAAGTTCTGTGCTTGTCGAGGTTATCATGTAGCAAAGTAAAAGTAACTGGTCCGAAAGTTGACTCTTAACTTACGCCACAAATGGAAGACATAATATGAAACTGGAAGAGTGGTGAAATTTATTTCCAGCTGGAAATTACTTCTGAGCTGGGACAGGCAGTCATGCCGAAACCGGGAAGCAAAGCCCAGAGAGGAGGAGGACCACGGATGAAGCCTCAGAAATGGGAAACATCCAGGCATTACTGTGATGTAGCAAACAGAGGGGAGTTAGATGTACCCACAGGGACTTCTCCCCCCACCCACCCCCGAATGGGAGATAAAACATGTTTTCTCCAGTTTGTCTGTGGTTAAAATGTTCCAAATACATACAAACTACTGATCAATACAGTAGCCAAGAGCAAAAGTATCCTTCTAAATTTAGAAAACTTCAAGGTATTTGATTTGTACTTTGAATCCTCCCTGCAAATTTCCTAATAAACTTTAAGTGATTGCCTTCCACAAGAACTCTCCACCCCAGCACTACTGACACTTCGGACTGGGTAATTCTTCGTTGGGGAGTGCCATCCTATACACTGTAGGACGTTTACACAGCATCCTGACATCTGTTTGCTAAGAGACACCGGGTATAACAATAAACAGTATTTCCAGACATGTTCCGCGGAAAAATACTAGCCTCCGCTGAGAACCACTGATCTACCCAGAGTCTGTATGTCAGATGACTGTTCCTGCATCGATAGAACAAGGGTAGGAGCTAAACAAGCCCTCATGTCTGTTTTCCTACAGAAGCATAAAGCAAATACCGGTGTTACAAAATACAGGTAGGACATTCCTTTTACTGTATTCATCGTTATAGGGAAAAGTAAATAAAATCCAAAGTAGAATCATAGGCTCTCATAAACCATGATTTCTAACCGACTCGTCCTGGTCCCACATACCAAACCATGCTCTTGTTACTAGACAGCCTTTCACAGGAGGGGAGACAGCTGCCTTCCACCGTCTGCATCCTGGTGTGGGCAAGAGAGCTTGACCATGATATATTTAACATTCATAATTATGTGTGGCCTAGATAATGTTATAGAGAAACTCTTGTGAAAGTCTTAAAAATCGTGAAAGCCAGTTTCTAGTTGTGGTGGCACAAAATAGGAGGAAATATCGATAACTAAGGAAGTGGTAGTTCTCAGGGACAAAGACTCCTGAAACAAAAATGACTAAAATACCAAATGCTATGTACATCTTTACTTAGAAATTCTTTCTCTCTCAGGTGAGATGTGGTGGCTTCTTTCCTTCACTGTCTTTTCCATTTTAAGGAGAGTGATGGTGGGGAGGGGGACCCGTATGTATGGTCCTGTAGAATTACCTATCATTTTACCTTCTTAAAAGGATTTAAAACGGATTCTTTCACTTAGTATGTTCACTCTTTCCTTAAAGATTTAGCAGTAAGGAATCAATATCAAGGTAAGTATCAAAAGTCTAACAGGACCTGATAACCACAGCAGGTACTGGACATAGGAGAAATAAGATCATTATAGTGGTAGGTGAGAGTTTCTTCATGTAGAAGTTTAAGTGCCTTTAAAAGAACAGAAAGCAATTAAGCAATTGTGTTTATGATTTTTACGGCCTGTTAACAGTATTCCTTATCCGCAAAGTTTAGCAGGCAGGCGTGGCCTTTTGAAGGAGTCATAGAAAAAATTACTAAATCCATTGATAACGAACTTGGTGATAACATTCTCTTTTTCTGACTTCAAAGGTGTCCTTGAATGGCCATTTTGGACAAAACTGGTTGTGGTAGCCATTGGCTTCACAGGAGGCCTTGTCTTCATGTACGTACAGTGTAAAGTCTACGTCCAGCTATGGCGCAGGCTGAAGGCCTACAACCGCGTGATCTTTGTGCAGAATTGCCCCGACACTGCCAAAAAGCAGGAGAAGAACTTCTCGTGTAACGTACACACGGACACCAAGGACGCCGTGGTGGTGCCTGTATCACACACAGGTACGAACCCACTGCCGTCTGCAGAGGGCGGGCCCCCCGAGGTTATACCAGTGTGACAGACCAGCTGGGAGCGTCTTCCCCGAAGACCCTCTTCCGAGCCCTCAGCCACTACACGTGACAGAAGTGATCCTGACGCGCTCACTCCCTTCACCCTCTCCTCTTTCTCCTACTGACTCGTTTTTCCAGACTTTGCTCAAAAAGGAAAGGACCAAAAGACCACCAAATGACCAGGATCCCAGGAAGCAGTCCACAGGGTGACGCAGAAATGTGGAAGTCAGCAAGAGACGGATTTCTAAGACCATTAAGAGCCAGTGGAGCAAGGGATGCTCATAGGCAGGGACGGAAGCCTGAGTGGACACAGGCGTCCTCACAGGAGCAGGAGCAAGTTTAAGAACACAGGCTTGAACTGCAATGTGTATTTCTTCCAAGGCCTTGTGGTGTTAACTGTCTCATCTGGAAATAAGAAACATCCTTGGTTTTAAGCTTGAAATTATCTGCATCATCCTTCAGCGGTATCAGAAGCAGACGTGGAAGATGCAGTTTGATGCTCATACTCTGACAGCTAACAGATTTTTATGGCTATAGTGGAGTCCAGTTGTCTTAACAGATGCATGTTTTTAAAAAATAGATGCAATATGCATTTGAAGATATTAATACTTAGAATCACGTTTAAATCACGAACAAGAGATTTCTGGGTGTAATTAGTGCTGTTAAATACCCACAGAAGCTACCACCAGCTATTAGGTCGTATGTTTTATCTGGTCCCTCTAAAACAGTGTTGTCCAACAGAAATATAACGTGAGCCACAAATGCAGACCGCATACATACGTTTAAAATTTTCGGGTAGGCCCATTAGAAAAAAGTAAAAGGTGAAATTAATTTCTATGTTTCACTTAACACTATATATCAAATTATTTCAATGTTATGAATATTAAAAATTGAGACCTATTACACCTCTTTTTATGAACCAAGTCTTCAAAATCCAGTATGTATTTTATCTTTATCGTGTATCTTAAACATATTGTTCAACGCAGCCCTAAAATCAGAGGCAGAGCCTCTGCTTCATTTAACAGTTGACTATTTCAAAAGAGCAGCTCAATTCATTCTTTTATCCAAAGTCTCATGAATGGAATAGTTTTATAAAGCACTAATCAAATTAAATAACCTGGTTGGTTAAAGAGTTAGATGAACTTACCACTTTGCAGTGTGAAAAAATGAAAATATGGAAAGATAAAATGATCTACGTGTGGCAAAGTTCTGAAATTAACTTGTGTGCTACTATGAGGCACATATGATAGGGAAACAAAAATTAAATATTTTTGTTAAGTCAAATGTGTAAGGTCTTTTTTTTCTTTAATCCACATGTGGCATCCACTTGACAGAGGAATCGTTGCGACTAAGCATTTAGACTTGATTTTTAAGAAGCTGACAGTATTTCCCTTGCTCAGCTGGAAAGTAAATCTACTCAACAGATTTTGTGATAAGTAATAAATGGAGTTGTTTAGGTTTGGCAGTTCAGTTGATTATTGTGTTCTTTGCATATTCATGTAGAACTGAAGCGTGAATGATATTGCAGTGAGCTAGATTAATGATTATAGAGTTAGTGAACCATCAAAGATGTCTTTTATTTAAAAAGGTGATTTATTTTTGTTAGCTGTCATATTTATTATTTTGAAAAGGCAACCATGATGGCCATAAGAACCAAAGCACGGGTCTCGCATTGCACAAACCTGGGTATCGCATTGATGCACTTTCTAATTATCAGTGTACTTGTTCTTCATGGATTATCATAGAAAAAAAGGAAGAGGGAATAACCTTTTAATGAGGAGAAAGATACGAGTATTAGTAGTGGCTGACACGGAGTCCATATAGTCACAATTTCTAGAAATAAAGAAAAGGTAAACAATGTCAATTTTGTGTGTGTATGACGTGTGTGTGATTTCACGTATGTACATGAGAAGAACATTAAAGTTTTTGGCCAGACAGGAAACAAAAGGTTTAAATCTCATCTTTCTTAAAACTTGTTGTGGAGGGTATGGACTAAAAGGCACAGGGAAGACAGAGCTGAAGTAACTGAAGTTGTACTGTAATTTCTGCACAAGTAAGGACATAAGTTGTGATTTTAAAAAGATCTATGAACCGTAAACAAACTAAACTTTGTATTAACTTCCTCTTAAATTTCCATTTTAAAGGTTTAAGATAAATACTCATGAATAGCTAAGTTATGGGTGATTTAAACATGGCACTTCACCCAATAAATTGACCTTGATTCAGTTTTTCTGTTAATTTTTCTAAGCTTTTTACTAACCCATTCTTCCCAGTGATTAGCAATGGCACAGTGTTCTTTACAAATATTCCTGGGGCGGGTGGGGGGATCGGTCACCAGCAAGCCATGAAATCCCAAATTATTTTATATTTGCTCTGGAAGGAAAAGAATTATTTACCTTAATTACCACCAAAAATACTGTTTAAATTCTGTACAGACCTAGGCAAGATGGCTAAGTGCATTGCTCATTTCTCAGTGGGAGATGATTGGCTAAAATAGGCCTGTTTATTAAGGGCTACACTTAACACTAAGAAAACATTTCTAGAATGAAAAGTAAAGATAAGCATTACTGTTTTAACCATAAAATATGACATGGTGTTTCAATACCATACCTAAATTCTCAAAATTAATTTGTACAGGCTTTGACTTTCTTGTAATAAGAATATAGTTCCCTAGCAGGTTAAAAGCCAGCTTTTTATTCTGCTATTCTTCTTACCTTTATAAACCCTGAACTCCTGAATTTAAATCTTTTAACATTTCCTGCAATGGCTGTTTATGGTTCAAACTATCTGAAATAATGATGTGCATTTAAAACCTAATATTGATTTTCTTTCCTATTCTGTGTGGCAACTGCCCTTTCAGTGAAAGGATTGGACTTTGTTGACAATACTTTTTGTGGACTGGACATACCCCTTCAAAAATGACTCTCCAAAAGGACAATTTTTTTGAAGCATGTTTACCTGCTCATGTAAGAAGTAATATGGAAGCGAATCAAAGGACTGAAATTGAAAAATGAACATGCAATTCTGTTTAAAACCTTGGCTTTTTATAATCATGCATCTGGTAGTATCAATACCATAAAACACAGACACTTATGCTGTTAATTTTTCAAAGAACTCTCACTTTTATTGTGTCAAAGACTGAATTGTAAAGGAATGAAATCCCAGTATTTTTTTTCTTAAAGTGAAGTCCAGAAAGCAATGACGCTTAAGAACAAACACAAGCAAAACAAACAAAAAATCAAAACAAAAATGATCCAATCAACCTGGGATACAGCAATGGAGAAACTGAAAACAAGTATTTATTAAAGGAGTCTTTCAAAATGCCCCAAGATGAAATCTCACTCGGAGCTGCTATTACATGTGATTATACTGTCCCAGACAGCCACATTTATCCTGTTTTCCAAGAAGTCCTTAGGTACCCCTAAAACACCTACTATTTGGCTGGAAAATTAGCTCATTAGAGCAATGGCATCGTTAAGATACTCTAATTGTCAAGGGGGTGAGGTGGGGAAGATTACTGCATTCTTTCACCTGACAGTTTACCTTTCCTTACCTTACCTTTGAATATTCTGGAACAAAGTAGAGCTCTTTAAACTTATTACCATTATTGTAATTGTTATGTAATAAATGTATAGGACTCATACTTTAATTAATAAGAAAGATGAAAAACCTTTTTCCTTTCCTTAACTCAGCCCAAAGGTGCTATTTTACATATCAATACAGCTCAAAGGAAGTACTGTTATTTGGGCTGCAGTGTTTCCTCCAAATCTGAAGAAAGCCCATTTTGAAATTGGAGATCATATTTAAAAAAAAAAAAAAAAAAAAAGATTTTAACTGTGTGCAATTTTTGAGATTGAGCATTTGTACTTTTTTGGTTTTACCTAATTCTCTTGCATTAACAACTTATTGTTTTGTGAATAATGTGTACTAAGACAAATTAAGGAAAATAATTATCTGTGAAAGACTTTGTATATTAAACAAGTGACCTAAACTTTTGTTGTGGTTTCTGTACTCTTTGCCTAATTTATCAGGATTTCTGCAGGTATTTATTTGCAACATTCAAAAAAGCTTGAGTTCTTAAGATTTTATAATAGTCTGGGTTAAGCAGGGTCTGAACATATTCATATTATGTTAAAGCCAACATTGGCTGGCCAACCCAAGAGGTGCATTAATTAAGAGGTACACCTTAACTCAAGGAAAGGGCAATGCAGGCAGAAGGAAGAGTAACCAACATCCTCAGTGGAAGTAGCAAGCAAGATTCAATTACTAAAGAAACAGCAGACCCTTGTTGGAGTCAGACAATCATTACCTAGAGAGATAGCAAAAGAAAGGCAAACTGCCAGCTCTCCATGAGTCTTGTCCCAAGGGAAGACACAAAAAGGAGAAGGCATGAAAGATGAAAGATAGGGGATAATGCAACATAAGGAGCAGGGCACCCTGGTGCCAAGATGCTGATTCCATGTTGCAGCGAAGCAACTTGTGGCCTCCGGCTACACCGTAAAAAGCCTCAGAGTGGAAAGTCTCATACTTCATCAAAATCCAGAGGCAATGACAAACTGTCTCACATGTCCTCCTTGGAAGACAGGGAGGCAAACATGAAGTGGCACATGGTCATCCCTACATGTCCCATATCCTCGTGTTCCAGGAACATCACAGGGCATTCATTCTAAGGCTCGGGTCACCCTGAACAAAGTCTGACCTAAGTGGATAAACACAAGGTCATCAGGGTACCAGCAGAGCTGTTCCACCATAGAAAACAGCTTGGCCATTCTAGGAATGGACAGAAGGCCTGTGATCTGAAGTACAGTTAGCCAAGGGCAAGTGGAAACAAACTGAGCTGGAGAACCAGTCAGAAATCAAGTCATTTCAGGACTCTTTGGCCACGGAAGCAAACGTGAATTTCACTCGAAATGTGATGGATGTCAATGTAGGTTCAGCAGTTGTAACAGATATGTGACCCTGGTGGGGAAGGTCAATGATGGGGGAAGCTCTGCATGTTGTGGGGGCAGGAAGCAGATCTCTTTACCTTCCTTCTCAATTTTGACATGAACTTTAAATTGCTCTAAAAAATAAAATTAAAAAAAAAAATGTTTAGAAACAAAGTTATCCCGGGGCACCTGGGTGGCTCAGTCAGTTAAGCATCTGCCTTCAGCTCAGGTGTCAGAGTTAGCTGCTCTGAGCTTAGAGACGAACCATTAGCCTATAACCGTGAAGTGCAGCTTTTTGGCAAACTATGGCAAGTAGACAAAGTCCAGCCTGCGGCCTATTCTGTGTGTGGCCATGAACTACGAACGATCTTTACATTTTTAAAGGGTGGTAACACATACACACGTGCAGAAATATGCAACAGAAACTGAATTTGGGCTGCAATAACTAAAATATCTACTATCTGGCATTTTACCAAAAAAACAAAACAAAACAAAACAAAAAACAACTTACCAGCCTCCAGCTTGCACACACCTGCCAACAAAGTGAGTCACTTTTACTCTGTTCCATGGCCATGAATACTACAGAAGCTGTATTACAAAGGCATACTACGGACACAAGAGGAGTCCAGGTGAGGCGGCACAAGTTATCACTGCAGAGAATACACATTCTATAGACAGTGATTAAGGATATCACTTAAAAGCATCATTCTAACAAACTATCTCTTAGGCTACTCTCGTCCAGCCAGGAGCAACATGACAGTCCCTGCCATGTTATTATCCATAATGATACACGATAAAATAGGATTATGAAATATAAAGATTATGCTAACTGGTAAAGTAAATTCATTCACTCAACAAATACCTACCTATTCTAGTTCCAGGTAGTGTGCTTGTATTTTTGGTTTGATGGCGTAGGGAGAACTAGGAACAAATGTCTGAGGGGGAGGATGATCTGCCATTTTCTTAAGTTATTTATCTAAGAGTATGCCTTATAAAATATCAGGCAGGATAAAACAGTTTTTATTCTCTTTACTATAATTTAAGGCTCAGTTTTTATAGCCATCTTGAAACAAAAATGAACCAGAAAAGAGGATATTTTCCAATGACTAAAGAGAGGAATGTCTGTAACCATAAAACCGTATTACAAAGATTACTAAAGAAAAGCAAATCAGCATCAGTTAAAACACTGAAAATGAAATAATCAGAACTTTAAAGTGAAATTATGAAAATAAATTTTATTTTTAATTTTCAATAAAAAAGCTGTTAACATTTTAAATAAATTGTTAATGAAACTTAGTTGATATCTAATCTCTTATAGCATTAATGTTTTATATTTCTGTTCTTGAAAATACTCAAAGACATCTGCATCGTATCCTTTAGAAAACAGCCTAAAAGATAATTGCATTTAACAAGTTCTATGAAGAACAACATTCTAACACATCCATGGCTTTCACGATACTTAAAATACTGTTGTCACTTAGCGTCTCTCTCAGAAGAATAAATAACAGAAATAAATAACACAACCACAATAACAGATTCTCTGCTCATTAGTTGTTTCCACAAATAAAGCCATCAGTTTTCATGAGAAAGCAGAAAATAACATACAAAGAGTTAACCTGAAATCATTTATCCCCTTTATCAAAAGATAGAGTAAGAGTGGGAGACCAACATCACAAAAATAGTCACTATTTTTTTTCTTTACTATTTAACTCTGGCTTAAAGACAATAAAAATAATGTATAGTCCATCAGTGTATATTTATTCCCTATCACATTTTCCCTACTTTATAAGGAAAAGAAAATAGGTCTAATGTTTAAGAGGAAGATTAGTGAAGCACTATTACTGAAAGCCAATTTTGCTATCATCACGGCTCAAGAAGGATCCACAGGACTCTTCCACAAAACAGGTGGCTCTGCAAGCCCTAGAATATGAGATCAGGTGATCCAAGGTAAACATGAGAGGAAAAAAAAAAAATCAAAACACTTTCTATTCCTTATTCATATCACTCCCTCTGTCCAGGAAATTTAGATTAAATAGATCTTAGATTGTGCTTTTATTTCACTACATCTATTTCAACAATTTAATGTAAATGAAAAGTAACATTCATTTTTAAATGAAAATCGTAACACTTTTTGACACTGCAAATGGGATTCTCATCATGAAAGAAACTACACAGCAAGTTCTTGTTATCTACACACTTATTTACCATAATCAGGTCAAATATAACTTGATGCTCTCAATTTACTTACTTTCACTTCAAACAAAGGACAATTATGCCACTGCTGGCATTTCCTCATCTGAGTCACTTGATTCATCTTTTAGTTCCAGTTCCCCTAAATCTTTGTCTACAGCTGTAAGAGTTTTCTTCTTGCACTTCTTGGGGACTGCATCGTTAGCACAGATTTTTCTCATTTTAATGTTTGGCAATTTCTTCAGATCCAAATCCCATTCCCTAAACAAAAGAGAGTACGTAAAGAGGCTGCGGGGGTGGGAGATGGAGGAGCTGTCAATACTTAAAACTCTGAAAGCAGAACAAAGCTTAATAAATTTACAGCAGATTCAAATACACTAAAAACAAACAACATATGCATTAGGAAAAAAAAAGTCCCAAATGAGGCTTGCTTTTGTCCATACTTATCCTCTCATTAACCTACAAGAGCAGTAACTGCACAGAGATCCCCACATACCCAAACTTCCAACGTAATACAGAAAAATATTAAGACAGAAGTGACAAGGAGGCTCTATTCCATTGGTTTATCCTCCCTAACCTGAAGACTCCATCTTACCAAGAACCTCAAGAAGCAGTGACTATATCATACCTGCAACTCTTCAAACTGCAGTCAGAAAAGACTTTTTTCTTTCCTTTTGTTTTTTAAAAAAAGGTTTATTTATTTACTCATGAGAGACATACAGAGAGACAGAGACATAGAGGGAGAAGCAGGCTCCTCGGGCAGGGAGCCCAATGGGGGACTCGATACTCGGATCTGGGATCATGCCCTGAACCAAAGCAGACGCTAAACCGCTGAACCACCCAGTCGTCCTAACATTTTTCTTTTTACACTTCGTGGTAGTCAGTTTTAGTAACCAAAAAAATGTTACAGTTACAACAGAAAACTTCAGGGCAGCCCCGGTGGTGCAGCGGTTTAGGTTTAGCGCAGCCTGCAGCCCAAGGTGTGATCCTGGAGACCGGGGATCAAGTCCCACATCAGGCTCCTTGCATGGAGCCTGCTTCTCCCTCTGCCTGTGTCTCTGCATCTCTCTCTGTCTCTCAGGAATCAATAAATAAAATCTAAAAAAAAAAAAAAAAAACCCCAGAAAACTTCATCTTTCAACCACTGGACTAACTAGTTCTTGACAATTTATTCTTTTCTCTGGTGTCACTTCCAAGGAACCATCTTTTCCAAAAGAGGGTGCTACAAATAGTCTGGGGATAGAACTTTGAGCCACTGAGTCTGCTGCTGTTAGTTTATCTTTGAAAAAAATACGAATTGGGGAGCAATAGTGACATCAAGTTCTCTTAAGTATTTTATTAAGGTATTTAAAAATATTTTGAAAAATATAATCACCATCTCACTATCATTTCAGTGCATACCAGGTGTTTCAAATAAAGTCAGGAAAAGTCTTACTTTGATAAAACAGATCAGGTTAAAAGAAACCCCTGAGGGTTTTTTTTTTTTAACTCTAATGTCTAAGTTCAAAAGGAAAGAAAGTTTGTGTCTCATGTATTTTACATGTAGCCTCAAGGAATCATAAAGAGAGACAGACTTACCTAAAAGTTCTCAGATTACCTGCATTTATAATGTCTGGAATCTCTGGGAAAGAAAATAATTTATACCCATTAAGTAGTATTCTTTAAATCACAACATTTTACAGTTTCCTTGTTTATTATCTCGGATACAACAAGTTAGTGGCAGCAAGAAAATCCAAAGCAAAACAAAATTTCAAAGCACAGCCATAATGCTATATGAAAAGGAAGTTCTGGCCCTCCTGCATACCGCAAACTAAAGACTGAAATGATTTGTCTGTTGTAGCTTCATTTTTTATCAGTAGTTCTTTTGTCAGCTGCTTAAAAAAAAAACTTTGTGGATTTATGAATAAAAAAAGAAAAAGTAAGTTCTGAAAGTATAAAGGGCTTAGTTTAAGGTGATTTAAGAAAAATGCTATTCAATGCTAAATTCTAGCACAAAATCTATAAAATGAAATAAACTTATTAATGAAATAAACCATGACCTTTTTTTTTTAATTTTTTATTTATTTATGATAGTCACAGAGAGAGAGAGAGAGAGAGGCAGAGACACAGGCAGAGGGAGAAGCAGGCTCCATGCACCGGGAGCCCGACGTGGGATTCGATCCCGGGTCTCCAGGATCGCGCCCTGGGCCAAAGGCAGGCGCCAAACCGCTGCGCCACCCAGGGATCCCAAACCATGACCTTTTAATCTATGAAAGACACCTGGCAATTTCTAACAATCAATCCCCTAAAATGCTAGATTTAAAAATATATTTTCTTGGTGAAAAGTACAATTTATTTTCAAGCATATATTTCATCCTGGCAAGACAGAGTTTATCTGAGAAATGCAAGGATTCTTTAATATTTTTAAAAATCACATTATTCAAAATGGGAAAAAAAATTTAAATGAACTATAAATCAATAGATGCTTAAAGCAGCACAATAAAAAATCCATTTTTTAAAAAGGTTTTATTTATCTATTCATGAGAGACACAGAGAGAGAAAGAGGCAGAGACACAGGCAGAGGGAGAAGCAGGCTCCATGCAGGGAGCCTGATGTGGGACTCGATCCTGGGACCCCGGGATCAGGACATGAGCCAAAAGCAGATGCTCAATCACTGAGCCACCCCAGTGCCCCTAAATCCATTTTCAATAAAAAACTAGGTACATTACCATGATTAGAAAATTTACCATAAACCAATATGCATGATCATAGTTATCAGTAAAACACAAATGGCATGTATAACTAGAACACTGCTGCAAAAATTCTGGCCAATGCAATAAAATATTAATTAATATCTAGGATCAATGAATGAAAAAGATAAAATAAAAATGCTTAACACAACTGTATGCAAATTATGACAAGAGTTTCAGAAAATATGAGTATAAGGGGATCAAGTGTTTAAAAGGTGTAAATTAAACATCATTTTTAAAAAAAGAAATTTTACTAAAAAGAGTCAGAAATAGTTTTACCACCATGGGGCAAAGAGGAGAAATGTAACGATCCAGAATTCAACAACAATTTGCCCAGGCCCCTATAAAACTGTCAGAGATCTCAAACCCTTCACCAGACACACTACCTAACTCTGGAAGAAGCAGCGTGGAACAGCTGGAAGAACAATGGATCTGATTTTTTGTGGTGACTCAATCACCAATACATGTGTGACCTTGGCCATGTCCGGTTAACTAATTACCAGATTCATGGTCAACAGACTTTAGGAGGAAAGAGCAGCAGCACAGAGACCAACTGGGAGGCCATTAATGGGTACAGTTGAACCAATGGTGGCCTGGGCTAGCGAGGAGCTGGTAGTAGCAGTTAGTTACCAGATGCAAAATACATTTTGCTGATGAGCTGGATGGAGTGTGAAGTAACCAGGGGTTTCCGACCTGAGCAACTGGGCAGCTGGTGATACTGCTGCCTGAAACAGATGCTGCAGGAGCAAGTTTTAGGAGAAAAGCTAGACTCTGCTTGAGGACATGTCAGGTTTGAGATGCCTAGAAGACATTCAAATAGAGATTTTGAGAAACCCTGGTTTGATAATACGAGTCTGGAGTTCTAGGGACAGATTAGGGTTGACAGATAAAATTTTGAAGTTATCACCATGTAAATGGTATTTAAAACCACAGGGTGAAAAAAAAAAAAACCCACACAGGTTTTTGAGGGACACGTGGCTCAGTGGTTGAGCATCTGCCTTTGGCTCAGGTCATGATCCCAGGGTCCTGGGATCGAGTCCCACACATTAGGCTCCCCACAGGGAGCTTCTCCCTCTGCCTGTGTTTGTCTCTCTCTGTGTCTCTCATGAATAAATAAATTTTTAAAAAATAAAATAATAAAACCACAGGCTGAATGAAATGCATTAGGAATTAATATAAATAGGAAAAAAGAAACAGCCCAAGGAGGGGGTCCTAGGCCAATATTTAGTTTGTGAAAATGAGGAGGGTTCAACTTAGGAAACTGAACTAGAAAGAAAACTATGGAAGTGCTGGGTCTTCTTTACCAAATGAAACGTCTGACAAGAAAATGAAACGATCATCTGTATCGAATGCAGCAGAGAAGTTGACTGAATGAGAACCAATGCCCAGTAAAGCAACTATTTGCATTAGCAACTCAGAGGTCATCAGTGTACCAGTACTTGTAGTTGGGTGATGGAGAAAACAGCTAATTAAAGTGGGTTCCAGAGAAAAACCAAGATGAGGAGATGGGAGACCTACGAGCATAAACAATTTTACACTCTTACAAGGTGACTATTCAGTGAAAGGGACACTGGCATCACTGCTTGAAGCTCTCCCCGAACCTCCTGTATTACACTGTATAAGGCATCTTGATAAATAAAACTTCATGTAATTTTTATTTATTTTTTATTTTTTTAAAGATTTTTTTAAATTTATTTATTCACGATAGACATAGAAAGAGAGAGAGAGAGGCAGAGACACAGGCAGAGGGAGAAGCAGGCTCCATGCCGGGAGCCCGACGTGGGACTCGATCCCAGGACTCCAGGATCGCACCCTGGGCCAAAGGCAGGCGCTAACAAACTGCTGAGACACCCAGGGATCCCCTTCATGTAACTTTTAAACAAGTGCCAAAGTAGGGATACTATTTATTTCAGTTTTTAAATTGAAGAAAAGAAAGCGTGGCGGTGGAGAGTTAAATACCTTGTCCTGCTATACGGTAAGCTCTAAGGGTTTAAGTCGCATCTGTCTAATGCTACAGCTATTTTGTTATTTTTTCAGTGAAGAAGCTCACTTCTTAGAAATGATGAAGAGGAACTGCCAACTTTCCTCTTTTAGAAAACTCTGGTAACCTAGTAAATCACCATTTGAGTGACTCTACTTTTCCCTTCTCGTGTCCTAAATCCCATTGTTAACTTTTTAATTCACCAATTAAGAGTCAACTTGTGAAACTCTGGGCACCTCACCTTCAGACCCTAATGAAGGTAGAACCCCAGTCCACACTCCCTTCCTCTCTCTCCCTTCCACCTCCCTGTATGGCCTTGGGCGTTCTATGGACCTTCTAGGCCATGTGAGTAAAAATTTCATTTTGTCTTTTTTTGTTTGTTTGTTTCCCCCCAAACTTCCCTGACCGCTGTTACTGAGGTGCATCCCTGCAGTCATAAGAACCATGAGGCCGTACCAGCCATAACTCTGGCTCTGGCTGGAGAAATACCTAGGGAGGCTCAATGCAAGTACTAGAGGACCAGGTGAGTGTCTCAGGCATTTCTAGCTGATAGCATCCCTATCACCAGGCTGGGCCCAACACAACGGTCACCCACAAGATATTTCCTTTTAGGATCTTATACTTCAGTGTTGTTTATTATCAAAACTTAAAAACTTAATTTGCTATTAAATATTTCATTTATACTGTACTTTTCAAGTAAATCCACATACTATAAATGCTGTAACATGGACCAGAAATGGAATGTGAATAAAGTAATGTTTAGGACCATGGCAAACCTGAGAGTACATGATCAAGTCTAAAAGGGACAGATGTTACTCCACTGTAGCAGATTATGTTGCCAGGCTATTTGAATTTTTTTTTTTTTAAAGCCAGAAATCTACATGCTTCATGCAAAATCGACAGATTTATTCTAGACTGACAATTAACAAGCCAATCAAATACCATTTGCAGGCCATGTTGCCTCTGGGTTGTCACCTGTTTGTGGGCTTTGCGAACCTAAGTACCCTCACCAAGTGCTTTTTCTTCAGACAATGATGGTAAACTCACAACATGCTTGTCTTTAAGAATGGTAAGAGATGCTACAATGCCAAGAATGAATGTTCAATTTCTAAAGTTTTTCAAGAATGACTGCAACTACTATAGCTTGGTCCTACAGGAATCAGAAAGACATAAAGGGCACGGCACCTGCTCTAAAGAAACACAGATGCAGCTAGAGATGGGCAAGTAATAACTCCACAATAAAGCAAATTAGGAATGTGCCGGAAGGAGAGGAAAACTTTACTGTCAGGGTAGAAAGATAAGATATCACTATCACAAGTGACAGTTTTGAGAATTTAAGAAAAAAATAAAAATAAAAAATTATTCAATGGACTCACAAAAGAAATCAAACAAAGAAATTCAAACTAAACTAAATAAATACAATAAATAAAATCAAACCCTTGAAATACATTACAAATCTGATATGACTATGTATTTTAGAAAGAAAAAAAGAAAATGAGAACACACCAAGGCCATATCCTTCATACTGTTGTCGCTCACGCTCCATTGTCTGCTTGATGACTGTCTCCCGGGAATAGTGCCGTCTTCCCTGCCTGTCTTTGATGCTGTTATGTAATTCAATCTGCTCTAGTTCACTGCTGAATCGATTTAAATACCTGAGAAATAAGAAAGCAATTTGAGTTACAAGTCTACCCACCATTTGGCTTACAGTACATCATTTAAAACAAACCCCAGCCTTCACCTGTCCTTGAAATTTTTATATTCTCCTGAGTTCCTTGTATCCTCAGACTTCAGACCCTCCCTGGATAGTCCAAGCATGCCCAAAATTTCAACATCCAAATCACTGCTTGCTATTCAAGTATCTGCTAAACTCCAGACCCTCACACTCAACCACCCCCTGGACATCTCCATTTGGATGTCCCATAGAAGCTTAATATATCAAAAGTGAACTTGTGCCCACCTCTATCCCCACCCAACCCCCACCAAAACTGTCCCATCTTTTTTTTGGCTCTCTACTTCAGAAAATAGCACAACCATCCACCCACCTGCCCAAATGAACAACAATGTCCTCCTTGACTCCATTCTTTCCCTTTTATGTCACATCCTAAGTTTTCACTAAGGATTGTGACTTTCTACCTTCTTAATATTTCTAGAATCTTCGCTTCTCTTCACCATACTGCTACTAACCATGGAGAGGCCAGCATCCTCTCTTGCCTAGATTGTTTCATCAGCCTTTCAACAATGTCCTGCCCAAAGCCATGTCCCCTCAGGCCACCATCCTCATTCTTCTCACTATTATAACATTTCTAAAGTTTAAATATGATCATCTCAGGTACCTACTGTAAAAAACTTCCTGTGGCTCCCAATGTCCTTTGATAAGGTCCAAACTCCTACAATGATACTTGAGGTCTTTCATGAGCTGCACCTGTCACTGTCACAATGCCCTCCTTGAGCCTGTTATTTTGGTTATATTAAATGGCCAGCAGATCACTAAATATGTCACTCTTGTATCTGATACTGTTCTCTCAGTCTAAAGGCTCTTGAACTAACCCACCTCAATCTGCTAATTAGGAAGCCTTTCCTGATCCCAAGAAACCAGGTTAAGTAAACACTCAGAGGCTGGGAAAAGTTATAAGCCTAGTGGAGTAGCTACACCAGGGTGTGAGTCTAAAGCTTTCATAATAACAAAGCCCATTTACTCCTCTATTAAATCCAGGACAGAACTCGGTCTCTTAAAGAACCAAGTTGGAGAATTCCCCTTTTCTGAGCCTTTTGCTCGTAACATGCCCAGTGTTTACCTTTCAATTAATTCACAAGCATCTTTCTTTGAATATCCTACTTTTTTGGGATCAAGATGACTTTGAAACCACTGCAGTTTTTCACCTGTAACAAGTATCAAAATAGATTAACATCATAAGTCAGCACCTAAGCAATGAGCATTCATTATAATTTTCAACATCAGTGTGTTTAAAATAGTATCAAAATATATTTCAATGTTAAATATAAAGGCTTATGTGGGCTCAAAGCTAATTAAACCAGTCTGTCAGAAATCAAATTGTCACATTTTAATCTGGGGAAGAGACAGGGGTGGGAGAGATACTTTTTGATATGTATTATCCAAATAAGGATGCATGAATAAAAAAAAAGAATATGTTAACAGAACATGAAGTTCTAAGTATTTAAAAAGCAAAAGATAGAACACTTGCCTAAAATAATAAAAATGAAAATTAGATTAGTGGTGAGGATAACACTGATGAACATTTAATAAGCAGCAGGCTCTATATCAAGAGTTTTACCATCCTTTATGGATTATTATCCCTATTCACACATGTGAAAGGTTAAGTAGCCTGTCCGGGTACTCAAATTAGTAAATATATTAACCATACAAGATCTGTCAGATACCGTGCAAAGAGTAAATATGACCATCAGGGTCACTTTCAGTTACGGCCATACCTGAGATACGGATGACCTACTTAGAAATACTATTCTACTACCTGAGAAAGCATTGAAGATCAGTATTCAAACAAAAAACGAACAAAGCCTAAAAGTCACTATTTTTTAAAAAATTTTATTTATTTGAGAGAGTGGAGAGAGACTGCAGAGAGGGAGAGGAAGAAGCAGATCCCCGTGGACCAGAGAGCAGACATGGGGCTCAATCCCAGGACCCTGAGATCATAACCTGAGCCAAGGCAAATGTTTAACCGACTGAGCAACCCAGGTGCCCCTAAGTATCGCTATTTTAAAGTCAGGCTTCTAAGTAAAAATTTACTAATAATAAATCTAGCCAAAAAAAAAAAAAAAAAAGATGGTGACACTGAGATACAGACAGAGGATGCATATATCCACATCACTAAATATAAACTGCTGTTTCCAAAATACTTAGGCCACAATCCTTCCTAATTCTAATGGTTAGGGAGCTAGAATTAAACTTCAAGAGAAGGAATAGTAGGTAGACAGACAGATGGATAGATGTAGGTAGGCAAGCTGGTAGATAAATAAAAAATAGTTTCTGAAAAACTGAGCTAGATATTATTAATACTTTTTAAGAGTTAACAATTGCTTTTACTTTGTTTTAATTAAGTCCAGTAAAGAAAAGTCCCTAGAAGAATCAAAAGAAAAATAGGTACAGAGCAGAATTTCACTATAGTTTAGCCAGAGTATCAATGAGTAAATTTACTCACCAATAAGATTGAGACGCAATGCCTTTTCATTTTTCAATCTTGGAAGAAAGAGTACATAAGGTATTAGAAAATTTCCGTAACAAATTTTTAAAAAATCTGTCAAAAACAAAAACTGCCCACAGAATCTTAAGTCAAGGATCATTCTTTTATACAAATGAAAATAATTTGTTAGTGCAGAAACACTGAACACCATGCTTTTCTTTTAAATCGCTGGAACAAAATGTTTCTAGAAACTTTCCTTTAGCTCTTCAGTGACTAATGACTAAAGGACACCTATAGGGGATCCCTGAGTGGCGCAGCAGTTTAGCGCCTGCCTTTGGCCCAGGGCGCGATCCTGGAGACCCGGGATGGATCCCACGTCAGGCTCCTGGTGCATGGAGCCTGCTTCTCCCTCTGCCTATGTCTCTGCCTCTCTCTCTCTATCTCTCTCTCTCTGTGTGACTATCATAAATCAATAAAAATTTAAAAAAAAAAAAACCTTTAAAAAAAAAAAAAGGACACCTATAGAACAAATCAGTTTTGAACACCAAAAAAAACTTGACTGGATTATGAATGTTCAGGTGGATAATACTTGTGCACAAGAGTAATGAATACCTTCTAGAAGATGAAGTGTGGCCACCAAGACCAAAAGGCCTTAGTGTCACCTTTTAAACTTCCAACAAGAACAAAAACAGAATGTTTACTTTTCATAATTTGAAAAGAATTTTAATAAGAAAAAAACTGATTTACTCTCAGAAAACAATCTAGGGAATACATGATTCCTATTGTTGGTATTCTAAACATTAATTCATTCAGGAGACCTTTGGATAGTTAGTTTTTGCCACACTTTATGCTACTCACTAGAGATACAGCAAAGAACAAAAAAGTTACTGTCCCTGCCTAACAAACCAGACCAGATTTACCCTCCCACTTTAAACAACTAGAAAACTGGAGAAATAAAATGAAGCTTTAAGTAAAAAGTTTCAGGCACAGAATGGGAGAAGATATTCACAACACAAATAACTAACAAAAGGACTTGCATTCAGAATATGCAAATACTTCTTACTACTTACTTAATAAGACAATCTAATACCAAAAAGGGCAAAAGACTTTAACTGGTTTTTCATCATATCAAAGACATGGAAATGACCAAAAGGCACATAAAAAGATATTTAAACATCATTGGTCAGGATGTACAAAGTTAAATCAAACTAAGATACTATTATACAACTATCAGGATGGCTACAAAGTTTTTTAAAAAACTGATAATACTGCAGGATTGAGTGTATTGATATGGAGAGTAGCCCTAATATATTGATGGTGAAAATATAAAATGATACTATCACTTTGGATAAAGCAATTTCTTAAATACTAAAATGTGACACCTATCATACAACCAACAAGTCTTATAAACTTAATTTCATATAAACTCAATTTTCTTACACACTTTAACATACAATCACCACATGGCCCAGCAATTCTAGTTCTAGAGAAAGAAAAATGAAAACAAATGTCCAAACATTGTACATGAATGTTCATGGCAGCATTATTCATTAATAATGAATAATGAATATTTGCCAGAAGCTGGCAAATTTTTTCTTAAATGACTGGAGAGTAACATGTTAGGCTCTGTGGGCCCTGTGATCAGTCACTAGCATGGTGGTTAGACTGTTCTACTACCAAAAACCCAAATCTGTACACTGAAAATATGGCTCTTTTACTGAATACTCTTTATACCTCAAGTTGATTTTTAAAAATAGAGAATAAATTCATTCATTTCAATTAAGCATAGAGGAAACAATCTAGTTAGAAATCAGGTTGAGGTAATTCTGAGTGAACTCAATGGGTCCTAAACTAGACTGGTTATCAGTTGGGAGAGAGAAAAGTAAAGAGATTTGAGATTAATTCTCTAAAGTAGTTTTTCCTAGATTTCTACCCATTATGCTCAGTTTCTCTCTGTTAGTTTCCTATACTAAGTCATTGTCTTTTGGTATCTAGGCTTCTTTGTTGTATACTCTGCAGGACAAAATATGATAGTATATACCAACAAAATATTGCTAGGTTGAGAAATCATAAAATAAAGCCAAAATAACACAAAATAGCCATCTACAGGGGTGCCTGGGTGGCTCAGTTAGTTGAACGTCTGACCCTTGATTTCAGCTTATGATCTCCGGATCATGGATCAAGCCCTGCGACAGGCTCTGTGCTTAGCATGGAGTCTGCTTCCCCCCTGCTTTCTCCCTCTGCCCTTCCTCCAGCTTGCTTATGCATGCTCAAAATTCTCTAAAATAAATAAATCTTAAAAAAAAAAAAAAAGAGCCATAAGTTCTCTGTAAATTGTGCATCACCTGAAATATACTAGTCTTCAAAACATACTAGTTTCTTTTAACATGAACAGAAGCAATATTCCACATAGTCTTAAATTGGAGCATTCAAATACTGAAAAAGAACACGTCTGAGCTCTTATTCTGTTGCTATTCACTCCTGAAGTATCTTTAAGTAACCAGAGTCTATCAGTAGAGTCAACTTGACCAACCAGCAGGTCTGTTTTTGTCTCCTTGACCACTAGTCAAAGGCACTGCAAGATAATAGACATCCTCCCTGATCTCCCCGCTACCTGTGTTTCTCCCTTAAAAGGACCTTAGGAAGAGGTACAAAGAATTCTCAGTTCTGTGTAAAAGCATAAAAATTGGATACTTTATGCTGCCTGGCTACCTCTGTTCCTTAGAAAAACCAAGTATCTTGGTAGGCAGAAAGTTCACAAAAGGTGTTAGTATCTAAAATGGTCCCCACTGATTCTTGTGTCTTGATAGCCATGTCCTTATGCTGCCTGAGCGTGGCTGGCTAGATGTAGAGATTTCAAACAAATAAAACAACACAATAGCGATGGATGTCATTCTGAAATAAAGTTTCAGAGACTGTTTTTCCATCCTGGCTACCTTCTCTTGTTCTATCTCAGAGCCTGTGCTCTGTCAGAACCAAGCCATCAGGTTGTGAGTAGCCTATGGAGAGGCTCGTGTGGCAAGGAACTGATGCCTCCAGCCACCAGGCACAGCCATGACTTGAAGTATACTAAAAGCAACATGAGTGAGCTCAGAAGCAAAATCTCTCCCTGTTAAGCTCGGAGATGAATGTGGCCCCAATCAGCATTTTAACTGTAGCTTTGTGAAAGACTGAACCACAAGCATTCAGTTAAGTGGCACAAGAATTCTTGGCCGAAAAAAACGTTTCAAGCTGCTATGATGGCATAGAATTTCTTATACAGCAATAGGTAATTAAAGCAGTACTTGATAACTGCTATCCATTATTAAGAAGCCATGGGCACCTGAAGTTCAAGTTAAGTCCTGCTGGTACCTTTTCTATCATCTTGCTCACAGTTGTCCCAATAGTCTGAGCATCTTATAATCATCCATCTCTCCAAAATATGCAACTCAGCATTTCTGTCTTGCTGGAAGTACTACTCTAGTGCAGGAAGATCAGCAACATTTTATGTGTTTATGTCATTTAAAGGAAGATAATCCATGGTCAATGATGCTGCTACTCAAAAAGCTGACATCTATGACAGGCATAAGACTGTTTCATAAAATACATTACATACTACTAAAACTTTGTATTTGTTTGCTTCTGGAACCATAATGGTTACAATGAGGACCTCTTTAAGATAAATGAGAACAATCTGTTTAGAACATTGTCGAAGCAGAAAAAATTAAGTATTATTTTTCAACTGTACTATGAAAATGGAGCTTCAGCCCAATAATGGAAGCTCTTTAGAATAAGTTATATAGGAATCAGCATGCTGTTCAATTTTATCCTTCCATAATTCTTTTATAATGTTGATTCTGTAAATTAGTGCATAAAATCCTGAAAATACCTGACAACATACGACTCTAGACTCACTAGCAAAGCACTTACAAGAGAAGCCAAGAATTCAGCCTAATTCTAAAGCTGTATTTCCTAAAATATTGCCATATATACCAGTAGTACTATATAAGCTGATCTTATTTTTTAGTTTCTCAGACACAGAATGAAATCATTTTTTTTGAATGAAATCATTTTTAAACAAGTTACTTCCCCCCCCCATTTTATTTTGATCCCCTCCAATTACAGTAAGAAGACGACTTCATTTAATGTTTATTTTACAAGTCTTCCAACCTTTGCCAAATCTTTTCACCAAGGATAAAGCAAGCATGCCTCAGACTCAGACCATATAGGGGAGGCACCAGTTATCTACTTGATTGTAATACAGATCAAGTATCTCCTTCAAAAAAAGATATGTAAGGGTAAAATATTCTAAAAAAAATACTAAGTAAATAATACTATGGGTCAGCGGTTCTCATAGTGTGGTCCCTAAACAAGCAGCAATAGCATCAACACTACCTGAAACTCATTAGAAATGCAAAATTTACCACTGCCCCAGACCTGAAGGAAAATTCCAAGGGAAGGAACAAAATTTTAATATGGCCTACAGGCATATCTTGCATACACATTAAGTTTATTAAATACTAATACAGGTGGTAACAAAAACTGCAAAATTATAGAAGTAGTAATCATGTCAGAAGACAGCAAAATTCATGAAAGTGATACATTAATTTCTTAAAGTTTGAAAATAACTTTTTTTTTGGAAAATAAATTCTAAAGCAATACTATCGTCCCAATAACCTTTTTGAAAAAAAAAATTTTGATTATACTATCACAGCACTTGTCTATTCTCTTCGAGAAAACTTCTTGCCAAATCACTGGGAACAGCTAACCTTTACTAAATATGTGTTTAGGTCTAGGGTATGAAATTAATATATAACAATGAACGTGCTGGTTTCTATCAGTGTGGAAATGCGTCTACCATTTATTGAAATGGTAAGGCTATTTTAAAATAGCTAAAATGATGATTTTTGTCTTTACAACTTCATTTTAAGTAAATTTTTGTCTCTACAGCAGCTCCCGGGGACTCTCACAGGCCAAATATGAGGGTAAGAATTGGTGAGTTATACAGGGTGGGCTGCTGACCGTAGAGGGTAGACTAAGGGATGGGAGGCGGAAAAGAAGGGGGAATTACATACACATTTTGAATTTCTAAGAAAATTTTACTATGAATTCTTCACATCAAGAATTCAAACCAACTTCCAGAATGGCATAAGGATCTATGAAAATCCACTCCTCCATAAAAGCAGAGAGAATACTAACAAAACTTGTCAAATTCAACTTTTTCAGAAGTATGAAAATTAAGCAAAGGCTTCCAAGAATCCAAAGAGCATTCTGAAGAAAAACAGCCCAGCCCAATCTCTGTAAGAACAACAAATCTGTGATGCTATAATATACCTGATCCATCATCCTCTGGTCAGCTCTGCAAGTGCTGGAAACCAATGGAACAGCAACTCACGGTAGTTGTAAAAATCATCTTCCTAAGAGCTACTAGAGAGAGAGATCAAATTTGGAGTTCCCCAAAAGATCCATCCCCAGAGAACTGCTACCATTTGACCTGACAGGAAGCATGCTGAAAAGATCGATTCTCAGAGTTACTTTGTCTTTATGTAAACTGACTCAGAGCTCTCTCTGTAGGAACAGCTCTATCTCCAAATTATTTCTTGAAGATAATCAGCAGCAATTATCTAACAAAGCAGCTGCCTTAGTGATATTACCAGTTGGGGGCTAACAAAAGGTGAACCAAAAAAATTTAAAGAAAAATTGGGGAATGGAAGGTCCACAGAGGACTTGAAAGCTACCCCAACATATTCCTGGGAATCTAGAATGCCATATGCACATTTAGGATTATGTTTATGCTAAGGAAAGATCTAAGAATGTCCTATTCTCTCACTTCTGGCTAACCTCTCACTTCTGGCTAACCTTGAAGCTCTGTGCAAACAAGAAATTAAGTAAACTGCATCCTGGTGTGTCAAAGCCAACAGATTCACAGAGCCTCTCAGCAAAGGCTGACTTATTAGCTAAAGACATTTAAAGAACTCTGTCCAAACATGAGCTGACTACCAACTGAGCAGAAACATCACTGGCCACACACAACAATTAGACTTCACAGAATTAGTCTGGGAAAGTCACAAGGCAACAAAAAAACTAAGGCAAACCTAATTGGGTATAGGGGCTTGGGGAGTCTATTTAACAGAGTCGTCATACTATATTATCGTAAATGTCCAGTTTTCAACCAAAAATTATGCGACACACAAAGAAACAGGAAAGTATGGCCCCTTCTCGGGGATTAAAAATAGAATCCAGTAGAAACTTTCTAAGGAAGCCCAGACAGTTGGACCTACTGGACAAGGACTTGAATACACCTGTAACAAACATACACAAAGAACGAAAGAAAATCTAAAAAATTCAAGGAAATTATAAGAACAATGTTTTACCAAACAGATAATATCAATAAAGAGACAGAAATTACAATGATGAGCCACATAGAAATTCTGGAGTTGAAAGATACAACAAAATGAAAAATTTACTAGAGAGGTTCAACAGCAGTTTTTTTACTGGTAGAAACAAATAATCCACAAACATTAAGAACACGTTAGTTGAAATTATCCAGTCTGAGCAACAAAAAGTTTAAGAAAAGAAAAATGAAGAGTCTCAGAGATCTGTGGGCACTACTGAGAACACTAGCATATGTATAATGGGTGTTACAGGACAGGAAAGGATAGAAAAGATATTCGGAAAAATAATGGCTAAAAACGCCTCAATTTGATGAAAAACATTGTTTTTCATTGTTAAGCACCCAAAAGCTTAACATACTCCATGGAGGATACACTTAGAGATCCACACCTACTAGACAAACCAGTCAAACTATTCAAGACAAAGAACATCTTTAAAGTAGCAAGAAGGGATCCCTGGGTGGCGCAGCGGTTTGGCGCCTGCCTTTGGCCCAGGGCGCGATCCTGGAGACCCAGGATCGAGTCCCACGTCGGGCTCCCGGTGCATGGAGCCTGCTTCTCCCTCTGCCTGTGTCTCTGCCTCTCTCTCTCATTCTGTGTGACTATCATAAATAATAATAAAAAAAAAAAGAAAAAACTTTAAAGTAGCAAGAAAAGTGACTCCTTGCACTAAGATAAATAGTTAAATTCTTCTCAATCAGAAACCATGCAGGCCAGAAGGCTGAGGGATGATGTATTCAAAGTGGTGAAGAGAAAGACTGAACCAAGAATTCTATATTCTAAAGTTTCCTTTAAAAATCAAGGAGAAATTAAGACATTCTGAGACAAAACTTAGAGAATGTCTCACTTTCAGACCTGCCTTATGAGAAATACTAAAGAGAGTCCTACAGGCTGAAATGAAAGGACAGTAAACAGCAATGTGAATCGAATCCACATGAAGAAATAAGGGGCACCAGTCAAGAAAAATATAACATAATTACATAGTTAAATATAAAAGACAGTATAAATGTATTTTTGTGTGTAACACCTTTATTCTCATAAGACAACTGCATAAAAACAATCACTATAAAACTGTGTTTATGGGATCATAAGATGTCATTTATAGGCAATAATAGTACAAAAAAGGGACAACAGAGCCACAGTGGTGCAAATTTTTTTATACTACTGAAATTAACTTGACATTAATCCAAAACTAGGTTATTTCAAGATTTAGTTGCAATTTGCAGAGCAACAACTAAGAAAGTAACAAAAAATAGTGGTCTCCACTTTACTAAATGATTTCCACATTACTAAATCAATTCTCAGTCCTCATATCAATCAAGAGCAAAGGGCCATGGCTTGATCACCACCTTCTCTTTGAAACACAATCTTCTTTTTCCTCTTTCCTAGTCTCACTTGTTAGATCCTTTTTCCAACCTCTAAATGAGGTAGGCCTCTGGGATCAATCTTTGGCTCTTCCCTTTTCTACTTACATTTATTCATTAGATGATCTTATCTAGTCTCATGACTTACAGTCCCAGCTAGAAGCTTAGGACTTCCCAGTTTGTGTTGAATCCCTAAATGTATCCTCTGAACACTAGACCCAACATATATATCCAACTGCCTGTGCTGTATTTCCTTCTATATACCTAATAGACTTATAGACACTTTAACATACATTTTTAAAAGGTTTTACTTATTCATTCATGAAAGACACAGAAAGAGAAAGGCAGAGACACAGGTAGAGGGCCCCCTGCGGGAGTCTGATGTGAGCCTCAATCCCAGGACCCCGGGGTTATACGCTGAGCCAAAGGCAGGTGCTCAATCACTGAGCCACCCAGGCGTCCCCAGGTACTTTAACTCATATGCCCAATATATAACTACACAGCTCCTTTCATCACATCTTTCAGCATTCTGCTCCAATATGAACCTCTTCAGATAAGCCACATATGACTATCCTATGTAAAACAGAACCACTCTACCACTCTCCATCCCATGATTCTTTTTCCTTTTTCTTCATTGCACTCATCACAACCTATTTAAGTGTATGTTTCTGCTTCAGGTAAGCACTACAAGAGCTGAATCCTTGTTTGCTGTTTTACCTTCAGTGCACAGAACATACTTAACATTTGTTAAAGAAAGAAGGGAATACTGATTAAAGATAAATGTATAAATGGGCTTTACACCAATGCACAATACAAATGATAAAAAAAAATACTTACTTTTCCTTTTTTTCTTGTTTGTGGACCTCTCTTGTAATTTGAGCTGCTTTTCTACTATATGGATGGATGACTTTTTTTTCACGTCCTACGGTTTTTCCCTTTGGGGCTTTAGGCTAAAACATAAGAAAATATATGACATACATAGTCAGATATGTAAAAGGTTTGTCAAAAAATTGTCTTTAGAAATAAATTTAAAAAACAGTAATATAAGAAATACCAAAAGCCAGAACCACTATTATTTATCAGGAGATAAATAAGACCTGTTAAATGACTGAAACAGTATGATTTCCATTGTCATACAGCAACAATATATTCAGAACTACTCTTGAGTGATGTAAGAAAATAAAGAACGGCAGAGAAAAGGTCAATAAACCCAGCTCTTCAACCATTCCATCTTCAGTGTAGGTAAGAGAATGCAGACGGTGAGGAGACAGAGTTAAAAATTTGTGTCACAGTTAAAAAAAAAGTTGGGGAGGTAGAAGGAACACATGATGTTCATGGGAGCCTGACTGTAAAGGTTGCACATGGAACAGAGTGGGCACTGAATCAAGCAAAATCAAACTTGGGTTCATAGAAAAACAAGAGGAAATAATAGAAGCCATCTCGAGATCAGCACATCCAAAAAAGAACCTACTATTTTCCCATTTAAACCTTATGCTAGCTAAGAAGGTCATAATTCATTCAGTCCACTGAACTAGACATTCAGGTAATTCTTTATTCCTACATACGTCTATGTTTCATCACATCTGTTTTTACTTTGGAATTAGATTTGGCTTCCTATAATAGAACCCTGAAATAATAATACTGTAACCTGATAAAGTTTAGTTCTCTCCTGTAAAAAGTAGGAGTATGAGGTTCTGCTTCACAAAGTCCTCAGAGATCCAGGCTCCTTCCACCTACCATTCTTAAGCTACAACCTCCTATGTATCTATATAGTTCAAGATGACTTAATAGCAAGTCTACACTCCAGCCAGTGAGAAGTAGAAAAGAAAATCAAAAGGCATACCCTTTTCCTTTAAGAGCAAGATCTCTGAAGTTGGAGTCTTCTGTTTACATCCATTGACCAAAATTTAATCAGTGGGTTATGTAAGGGAGAATAGTAAGTTTAATTGTTATTCTCAGAAAAAAAAATACGTTATAAAAGAAAAAGTCTATTTGGGGACAGCTGGCAGTCTCTAATATACCTAATCCTCAAAAAGGTCAAGTGTTCCTAGAATCTTCTCTTCAAAACTATTGTCAATGCCTTAATTCAGCCTCATGGTTTTTCATGATTAGGATGGCCTCTAGATTCTCACTGCTAATTCTTTTTTCATGGAAGTCGCAGAGCTTACTTTTCTGCAGTATTTATCTAGTAAAGTCCTTCTCCCCTTGCTAACGAGCTCACACTTAGGTCCCAACTCCCTCATGTGGAAAACAATCTATCCCCAACCTACTTCTCCAGCATTATTTTCATTCTTCAAAACACCCTTTATCCCATTCTTACTGAACTTCTCCTCCATTTCCAGAACACACTTTGCTATTTGCTATTTCATAATTTCTGGAGACTGTACTTGTTACTTCTGCCTGCAAAATCCTTTCCCTTTCTAGTTCTTTCATAAAATATAACTCAAAGTCACTCCTCTGTAAAACTTTCTGCAGAATTAAAATGACCAATTCCTCATTCACACATGTATTCATTCCTTCAGAAAATATTCACTGAAATACACTAACAAATATTCACTGCTCACTTCTTGATAAACCTGACCAAGAGAATTCCAACTCTGAAACCCAGAATGGCACTGGAAGATGGTTACAGGTATAGAATACTATGAAATCGTCACACAACAGTACAGGCATGCTTTGTTTTACTGTGCTTTGCAGATATTGTGGGGGTTTGGTTTTGTGGGTTTACAAACAAGGTTTGTGGCAACCCTGCAGGGAGCAGGTCTATCGGCACCATTTTTCCACCAGCATCTGTTCACTGCATGTCTGTGTTGCATTTCAGTAATTCTTACAATATTTCAATATTTACAATTTCAGTAATTCTGACAATATTTCCTTATCATTATTATTATTAGATGGGTCATGGTGGTCTGTCATCAGTTAATGTTATTCTTGTAATTGTTTGGGGCACCATCAACTGTGCCTATAAAATAAGCAAACTTCATCAGTAAATGCTGTGTGTCCTGACTGTTCTCACTGACCATTCTCCCATTTATCACCCTCTTCTCAGGTCTATTTCCTGAGACAGAACAACATAAAAATTACACCAAATACTAACCCTACAACGGTCTCTACTGTTCAAGTGAAAGCAAGAGTCATATATCTCCCACTTTAAATAAAAAGCTAGAAACAACTAAGCTTGGTGAGGAAGGCATGTCCAAAGCTGAGACAGGCCAAAAAGCTAGACCTGTTGTGAGTGCAAAGGAAAAGTTCTTGAAGGAAATTTAAAGTACTATTTCAGTGAACACAGGAATGATAAGAAAGCAGAATACCTTTAATACTGATAAAGACAAAGTTTTGAGTGCTCTGGATAGATCCAACCAGCCACAACATTCCCTTGAGCCAAGGCCTAACCCAGAGAAAGGCCTACCTCTTTTCAATTCTGTGAAGGCCAAGAGAGGTGAGGAAGCCGCAGAAAAAAGTTTGAAGTCAGCAGAGGTTGGTTCATGAGGTTTAAGTTAAGAAGCCATCTTCGTAACATAAAAGTGCAAAGTGAAGCAGCAAATGCTGAAGTAGAAGCTGCAGCAAGTTATCCAGAAAAATCTGGTGTAGAAGCTGCAAGTTATTATAAAGAGCTTTAATGTACATTTTTCAATGTATGCAAAACATCCTCCTACTGGAAGATGCCATCTAGAACATTCATAACTAGAAAGAAGTCAAAGCCTGGCTTCAAAACTTCTGAAGACAGACAGACTCTCTTGCTAGGGGCTAATACAGCTGGTAACTTTAAGCTGAAACCAATGTTCATTTATCATTCCCAAAAATCCTATAGCCCTTAAGAATTATGGGAAATCACTCTGCTTGTGCCAACAGGTACATAAAAGGGTGTCCAATCACTAATCATCAACGAATGCAAATCAGAACCCCTGTAAGGTATCAACTCACATCCGGTAGATTGGTTGTCATCAAAAAGAGAGACAACAAGTGGTGGAAAGGATGGGATTAGTGGAACACTTACGCACTGTTGGTGGGAATGAAAACTGATACAGCCACTATGGAAAAACAGTGGAGAGGTTCCTCAAAAAATTAAAAATAGAACGAATATATGATCCAGCAATTCCTCTCCTGGGTATCTATCCAAGGAAACAAAATCACTGAAGAGGTATCTGCACCTCTATTCACTGAAACCTTATTTATCAGAGCCAAGACATAGAACAACCTAAGTGCCTTTCAACAAATGAGTGAATAAAGGAAAAAAAAAAAAATATATATATATACACACCTACAAAATGGATTATCAGCCATAAAAAAGGAAATCCTATTATTTGCAACAATAAGGACAAAACCTAAAGCATTATGCTGGGAGGTAAGTCACACAGAAAAAGACAAATGTTGTATGATCTTACATATATGTGGAATCTAAAAAACAGGAAGTAGGCTGGTGGTGGCCAGGGGCTGGGGTTGGGGGAAATGTTTCAAGGTGATCACAAACTTCTAGTCATGAGTAAAGTTCTTGAGATCAAACATACAAGATGATTACTGCAGCTAACGATACTGTACTATACACTTGAAAGTTGCTAAAAGTGGCAGCTACGTGAGATGATGTATTATTACCTAAGCTCATTGTGGAAGTCATTTCACTATATATCAAATCATAACACTGTATGTCTTAAACTTATACAATGTTCTAAGCCAATTACATCTCAATGCAGCTAGGAAAAAAATTTTAATTGAATCAAAAAATTTAAACTTAAAACCACCACCACCACCACCACCACCAAGATTTAGTAATTTACAGCTTCCATTTATAGGTGAGTCCAACAGCACGAAATTCTTGTCATTAAGGAATATGCAGGGAGGTCAAGGAACACTTGATGCCCTCAGTTACATGTCAAGATAAATCGAGTGAGGAGGATGGCATACTTTCAAACGTTTTATAATCTAACTAGGGAGGAAAATAAGCACACTTAAACTTTATAATAATGGGCTTATTATATAAAAAAAAGAATATATGGGAGTGCCTTGTGGCATAGTACACACCAAACTAAAAACTTTTAATATGCTAAAAACTTTTTGCCATGCAGAATAAAGAAGTACTGGGTGGGATGAATTAGTTTGAAAAGACTGTTCACATTAGTTGAATCAAGTTTTGGTAGAACAAAGAAACAGGAATTTGAAAAGTTCCCAGAGGGGTTCAAAGTAAGAAATAAAAGTAACAAGACTAGACAACTACAAGCTCCACTGCTAACCATTTACTACTATTATTACATTTACTAAGCGCTAGACGCTGGGCTTAGTGGCTTCCACTGGATTTTCCCTGGCAGGTCTACGAGGCACCTCCTGGGATCATCCCCCTCTAACAGGTAGGACAACTGAGGCTTGGAGGCAGTAAGTAAGTTCACCAAGACCAAATTTTAGCAGAGAACCTCGGTCCTCTGGGACTCCATAACCCACACTCCAAACTGTACTGAGACGTTTAGAGCAGCCGATATAAAAAGATGGAGAGGGATCCCTGGGTGGCGCAGCGGTTTGGCGCCTGCCTTTGGCCCAGGGCGCGATCCTGGAGACCCGGGATCGAATCCCACGTCGGGCTCCCGGTGCATGGAGCCTGCTTCTCCCTCTGCCTGTGTCTCTGCCTGTGTGACTATCATAAAAAAATTAAAAAAATTAAAAAAAATTTAAAAAATAAAAATAAAAAGACGGAGAAATGTAGGGAGAACCTCCAGGGCCAAGCTGAGCTGCTTTAACCTCAAGGGCGCCCAGAGCAGAGCCACGGGTCATGTACCAGGAAACCGAAGGGCGGGAATTTGCCAGGACAAGACTCACGGGCCCCCTCCGCTTCGTGGGACAAGGCGATCCCCCCACCACGCAGCCGGGGCAACTGCAGCCAAGTGCCAACCGACCCAGTGTCACTGCCTCGGGGCCCCGCTCCGTACCCCGGGGGCCAGGCGGCAGGCGCCAGGCGGCGGCGCAGGGAGCAGGGAGCCCCTGGGCCGAATCCACGCGCTCCGGGAGGACCCAGAGCAGAGGCCGCAGGAGGCCGCGGGGACGGGGGCACCGGGGGCAGCAAAGTGACAGGCGCACCGCAGGAGGGCAGAGCACGCGGGGGACGAGGCCTTTCGCGACCACAAGCTTCTTCACATTGTTGCTTTTACGAAAAACTGGTGGAGCTCAGCGGTTCAGCATCGCCTTCGGCCCAGGGCGTGACCCGGGGTCCCGGGATCGAGTCCCCCGTCCGACTCCCTGCGTGGGGCCTGCTGCTGCCTCGGCCTGGGTCTCTGCGCCCCCCCCCCTCAGGAATAAATAAATAAAATCTTCAAAAACATAAATAAAAACTGGTTGAAAATAAATATTCATCAAACTGTATCCTAAAAAAACAAACAGTGTCCTAGTCAGGAATCATTCTAAGGACTATTCTAATGAAGTCTAAGTTTAAAAAAAAAAAAAAGACAGAAACCAAAAAAGAAGAAACCATCGTATTTGCAACAGCGTAAGGGGTAATTTTAAGCAAGGGAATCCTAAATACGGGATCCAGATGCTGATCCAGAGCCCGAGGCTCCTGAACGGTGCAGGTTCATGGAAAGGAAACACCAGAGGGTTTCAGGTTTCTTCCTTGAAGTGGACAACGGATGGACGAGCTCCTTACTACGAACCCTCCCGCGTCCCCCAGCGGCCTCCTTACTACGAACCCTCCCGCGTCCCCCAGCGGCCTCCTTACTACGAACCCTCCCGCGTCCCCCAGCGGCCTCCTTACTACGAACCCTCCCGCGTCCCCCAGCGGCCTCCTTACTACGAACCCTCCCGCGTCCCCCAGCGACCTCCTTACTACGAACCCTCCCGCGTCCCCCAGCGGCCTCCTTACTACGAACCCTCCCGCGTCCCCCAGCGGCCTCCTTACTACGAACCCTCCCCGCGTCCCCCAGCGACCTCCTTACTACGAACCCTCCCGCGTCCCCCAGCGAGCTCCTTACTACGAACCCTCCCGCGTCCCCCAGCGAGCCCCTTACTACGAACCCTCCCGCGTCCCCCAGCGACCTCCTTACTACGAACCCTCCCCGCGTCCCCCAGCGACCTCCTTACTACGAACCCTCCCGCGTCCCCCAGCGAGCTCCTTACTACGAACCCTCCCGCGTCCCCCAGCGAGCCCCTTACTACGAACCCTCCCGCGTCCCCCAGCGGCCTCCTTACTACGAACCCTCCCGCGTCCCCCAGCGGCCTCCTTACTACGAACCCTCCCGCGTCCCCCAGCGGCCTCCTTACTACGAACCCTCCCGCGTCCCCCAGCGGCCTCCTTACTACGAACCCTCCCGCGTCCCCCAGCGACCTCCTTACTACGAACCCTCCCGCGTCCCCCAGCGGCCTCCTTACTACGAACCCTCCCGCGTCCCCCAGCGACCTCCTTACTACGAACCCTCCCGCGTCCCCCAGCGACCTCCTTACTACGAACCCTCCCGCGTCCCCCAGCGGCCTCCTTACTACGAACCCTCCCGCGTCCCCCAGCGGCCTCCTTACTACGAACCCTCCCGCGTCCCCCAGCGACCTCCTTACTACGAACCCTCCCCGCGTCCCCCAGCGACCTCCTTACTACGAACCCTCCCGCGTCCCCCAGCGAGCTCCTTACTACGAACCCTCCCGCGTCCCCCAGCGAGCCCCTTACTACGAACCCTCCCGCGTCCCCCAGCGACCTCCTTACTACGAACCCTCCCCGCGTCCCCCAGCGACCTCCTTACTACGAACCCTCCCGCGTCCCCCAGCGAGCTCCTTACTACGAACCCTCCCGCGTCCCCCAGCGAGCCCCTTACTACGAACCCTCCCGCGTCCCCCAGCGGCCTCCTTACTACGAACCCTCCCGCGTCCCCCAGCGACCTCCTTACTACGAACCCTCCCGCGTCCCCAGCGGCCTCCTTACTACGAACCCTCCCGCGTCCCCCAGCGGCCTCCTTACTACGAACCCTCCCGCGTCCCCCAGCGGCCTCCTTACTACGAACCCTCCCGCGTCCCCCAGCGGCCTCCTTACTACGAACCCTCCCGCGTCCCCCAGCGGCCTCCTTACTACGAACCCTCCCGCGTCCCCCAGCGGCCTCCTTACTACGAACCCTCCCCGCGTCCCCCAGCGACCTCCTTACTACGAACCCTCCCGCGTCCCCCAGCGAGCTCCTTACTACGAACCCTCCCGCGTCCCCCAGCGAGCCCCTTACTACGAACCCTCCCGCGTCCCCCAGCGGCCTCCTTACTACGAACCCTCCCGCGTCCCCCATAGACCTCCTTACTACGAACCCTCCCGCGTCCCCCAGCGGCCTCCTTACTACGAACCCTCCCGCGTCCCCCAGCGACCTCCTTACTACGAACCCTCCCGCGTCCCCCAGCGGCCTCCTTACTACGAACCCTCCCGCGTCCCCCAGCGACCTCCTTACTACGAACCCTCCCGCGTCCCCCAGAGACCTCCTTACTACGAACCCTCCCGCGTCCCCCAGCGACCTCCTTACTACGAACCCTCCCGCGTCACCGCGCAAATACACACTCGATTCCTCCTAAAACGCGGCCGGACAGTCGGAGCGTCCGGAGGAAGGAGGGCGTGGGGGCGCGCCCGGGGGGCGGCGGCGCCTTCCCAGCTCCCGACCTTCTCCCCCCCCCCGCGCCCCACATCGCTGAGGAGCACGGAGAGGCAGGCGCGACTCTCCCTCCGCGCACACCCCAGCCCCGCCCGCTGACCCACCGCGCCGGCCCGTCGGCCCCTTCCCGCGCCGCAGCACCCCGAGCCCGCCCCGCGCCCCCGCCCGCGGCCGACGGGAGCCCGCCGGAGAGCTCGGGGGCCCACCATGCCGCTGCCGTCCTCGCGGCCCCGCGGGAGCCACCGCCGACCGCGACCGCTCGGGGGAAGACGCGGCCTCCACACACGTGCTTGCCGCGGAAGCCGGGCGGCGCGGCCGGAAGGGGCGGGGCAAGTGCGAGCCTCTGAAACGTCCCCGGGCACCCGCGCCGTGTCTTTTTGAGCCCGTACTTGGACTTTCCAGGCCTAGGCCGGGCGGCTTGCGACCCCCCACACGGCAGGGACCCCCCCACCCCCCCGGGGCCGGAGGGCGAGCGGGGCCTCGCGTCCAGGGTGAGGCCTGGCGTTTGAGCGGAGCTCGCCGACGTGCGACGCCCCCGGCCAGGGGCGCCCGGGGTCCGCGTGCGGGTGGGTGCCCGGCGGCTTCCGGCCGGTGCGCAGCTCCGCAGCACAGCTTCCGGCGCGGCGAGGTGGGTGGTCCCCGGCGGGGGGGGGGGGGGGGCGGGGCGGTCAAGGTTGACCCGAGGGTTGACCCGGGGACCCGGGCTGCATCGTCGGGCCTGCAGTGCGAGAACCGGACGGGAGATGCACGACTCCAGGCCTAGATGGAAGCGGGTTGAAGCCCGAGTGGGCTCAAGGAGGAGCAGCGGCGTGCGGCTGCGCGGCCCGGGCACCTGTGTGCACACCTGTGCGCGGCCACCTGGACTCCCCCCGGGACTCGCAGCCCGAGGACCCGTGCCCCAGGCGCGAGGCGCCGTCCTTGGGGTTTCCAGGGGGAGGGGCCGCCCGGGGACCCCGGCGATCCTGAGATTCTCATTGCCCCCCCCCCCCGCCTCATTTTAATTTGGATTTTGAGAATTTCCCCCCTTTCAGTCTCAATCCTTAAATCGTACTGGCTACGGGCAAGACCTCCTGTGCAAATTACTCTGTAGCTCCGTGTCGCTGTTCGGGCGCCACCTGTAAAAAAAAAAAAAAAAAAGTGTAGCAAATGCAAAAGTGAGTTCTACAAAGTAAGCCTAAAAATAACGATGATGACTAAGATTTGGCCCTAATTCAAGGTGTATGTGCACCAGCGTGATGAGCGGAATGGGCCTCCTCTCCTCCCCTCCCCAGTACGACGCACCCGCCACCCAGTAACTGTGGGGCCAAGGAATTTAACAGAAACCCCCTAGGCCTGGGCTAACTCCACCCTGCGCTGCACCTCCCCCCGTATGACCCCCCATGACCTGCTTAGGACCTAGGGCGCCCCCCACCCTGGTCAGGCCCCGAGACCCGCTCCTGTAGGAATGCGGGACCCCCAACCCCGGAGAATGTAAACCCCGCCTTTTAAAGATTATTTTATTTTATTTTTGTTTTATTTTATTTTTATTTTATTTTATTTTTATTTTATTTTATTTTTATTTATTTTTATTTTATTTATTTTATATTTATTTTTATTTTATTTTAAAGATTATTTTATTTTATTTTTATTTTATTTTTATTTTATTTTTATTTTATTTTATTTTTATTTTATTTTGTTATTTTATTTTATTTATTTTATTTTTTATTTTATTTTACTTTATTTTACTTTATTTTATTATTTTATTTTATTCATCATAGACACAGAGAGAGAGGCAGAGACCCAGGCAGAGGAGCAGGCTCCATGCAGGAGCCCGACGCGGGACTCGATCCTGGGACCCAGGTCACGCCCTGGGCTGAAGGCAGGTGCTAAACCGCTGAGCCACCTGGGGATCCCCTAAACCCCGCCTTGTGCCCGCCCAGCCGGACCAGAGCGATAGGCTGGTTCAAACGGTCGCTGTGGGGTAAATCGCAATTCAACTGCCCCCCTGCCTGCGGGCCGACAGGACCGTGCAACTTCCTGCGTGTGTTAAGGCTCAGGGGCCACTGGCCCCGAGGAGGCTGCTGCGTCCTCCGCCTCGGGGTCAGGCCCCTGCTCCGCTCGGGCGGTGCACTTGGGCCCAAGCTCCAGCTTGCAAATAAACCCTCCTGCGCTTGCATCCCTGCGGCTCCTCGGAGCTTTCTCGGATTCACAGTCTTGGGCACAACAATAAGCGCTGTAGTTCACAGACATCTTTTTTTTTCTTCTTAAGATTTTTTTTTTTAATTTATTCATTCATGATAGAGAGAGAGAGGAGAGAGAGGGACAGAGACACACAGGAGGAGGGAGAAGCAGGCTCCACGCAGGGAGCCCGATGCGGGACTGGATCCCGGGACCCAGGTCACGCCCTGGGCCAAAGGCAGGCCCCAAACAGCTGAGCCAGCCGGGGATCCCCTCAGAGATATCTTTAGAGAAAACTTCCTGTACTTTAACAGATATAGGAGAGATGTGAGTATGTGTGTGTGCATGTAAGAGTCAAGAATTGATCACTACTAGATACTGATACAGTAAGAACACACAATTTCTAGGGCAACCACCAAAATAATAGAAACAGGGTATCTAACTTTGAATAGGATAGAAAGAGGTTGAGAAGATAAATGGAATTATTAAAAAAAATACTCAGACAATTCAAAGTAAGGAAATAAGGGGGAAATAAACATAAAATGATAGGGAAAGTAGAAAACAAAAATATCGTGGTAGATTTAAATCCATATAACAAATAATTATGGACCAACTGCTCCCAATTAAAAAACAAATATTTCATGTTGGATTTAAGACACACGACTGTATCCTGGTTTTGAGAGATACATCTAAAATATAGGGAAACAAAAATATATATATATATAAGGAAACAAGACAATTAAAAAATCAAATGGAAAGACATATGCTAAGCAAATAGTAGCTGAAAGAATGTTAGTATAAATATATGAATGTTCTACAAAACAGAAAAAAGTATCATGGTGCTTCGAGGTCACTTTTTAATGATGAAATTTTCCATTTTAAATTTATAGTTACCTAATACCATAGCCCCACATGTAAAATGGAAAGGCTGATAAAATCTCAAGGAGTAGTAGAAAAACAAATTGCTTTGTGGGGAAATTACCTTTCTTCAATAATTAATTGAACAAGTTGATAAAATACTGACAATGATTTGAAAGATTCGACCGCAACATAATTTGAACTAATGGATCTATGCGGAATATTGCTTCCAGTGCTTGCAGGAACACATATGTTTTCAAACACATATTATATAGTCATCAAAATTATCAAATATTGGGCCAGAAAGCAAGTCTAAGCAAATTTGAAAGGATTGAAATCCTACAGAATGTGTTCTCTAACCACCATGCAATTTTTTTAATAAATTAATTTTTATTGGTGTTCAATTTACCAACATACAGAATAACACCCAGTACTCATCCCGTCAAGTGTCCCCCTCCGTGCCCGTCACCCATTCACCCCCATCCCCCGCCCTCCTCTCCTTCCATCACCCCTAGTTCGTTTCCCAGAGTTAGGAGTCTTTATGTTCTGTCTCCCTTTCTGATATTTCCCACACATTTCTTCTCCCTTCCCTTATATTCCCTTTCACTATTATTTATATTCCCCAAATGAATGAGAACATACACTGTCCTTCTCCGACTGACTTACTTCACTCAGCATAATACCCTCCAGTTCCATCCATGTTGAAGCAAATGACCACCATGCAATTAAACTAGAAATCAACAAGATAGCTAGACAATTCCCATATACTTAAAAATTAAGAATAATGCTTCCAAATAAGTCATATGTCAAAGAAAAAATCATAATGGATATTACAGAATATTTTGGGTTAGGGTACCTGGGTGGCTCAGTGGTTGGAGTGACTGACTGCCTTTGGCTCAGGTCATGATCCTAGGCCTGGGATCCAGTCTGCTTCTCCCTCTGCCTATATCTCTGGCTCTTTCTCTGTGTTATTCATGAATAAATAAAATCTTAATAAAAAAATATTTTGGGCTGAACAATAACAAAATACTACATATCCAAATTTGTGAGATATGTCTGAAGCAGTAATTAGCTCTTTTAATATAAGTACTACAGCCTCAGCATAAACACTAGAGAAGAAAGACTGAAAATTAATGAACTAATACATATCAAAGGGCCAGAAAAGGAACAACAGAAGAAATTCAAAGAACAGTAAAGTTGATACATTCCTGCATGCTCACTCAAAAAATTGGAAAAGATACAATTAACCAATATCAGAATTAAGGTGGCATTACTTCAGATTATGCATGCATAAAATGCATAAAAGGATATTATGGCCAAATAAATAAAATGGACAAGTTCTTAGAAAATAATGTAACCTATCAAAATGGATACAGAAGAATAGAAAACTTGAATAGTCTCATTATCATTTTAAAAAATTTTTACTCAAATATCTTCCCATATTAAAATTACAGGTTCAGATTTCTTAGATTTTATGAATATATACAAATAGGGATAGAACAGCACTTCCTTAATATGTTAAAAATGTGGATTAGTAGTGGTGACAGTGGACATCATTGTCTTATTCCTGACCTCAAGAGAAAGCTTTTGTTTAGCCATTTTGGAAAACCACTCTGGCAATATCTAAAAAGTTGAAATGTGTACATCCCCTACCCTGGCATTGTCATTCCCAGACACATACCCCAGGACCGTGGGCATATGTATCTCAGGATATACATACAAAATACGCATAGCAGAATTGCTCATAATAGCCCAAACTAGAAAAAAAACTAATTGTTCCTTAACAAAAGGATAGAAAAATAATCTGTGGCAAATTCCACAGAACAATGAAATGAGCAAACTACAGCTATGGCTAAACATGGATAAATTTCTAATTATAGTGTAAAAATTATAGACAAAATGATGCATCCAGTAAAATTCCATTTATGAAAAGTTCAAAACCAGGCTAAATGAGCTACTCTGCGTTTTTCACAGATATTTTTTTAAGTGGCCAGTGATCTTTCAAAACCTCAGTGGTGGTTATCTTGCTGTTCGCTTTACAGTTTTTCTTTATGTGCCACATTTATGTTTTATGCACATTTTTGTTTGTAAGCTATACTTTTACTGCAAGAGGTGTTAACAAATTTTTAAGTGTGAATATATTACCCCATTGTCTCTTGAATCCGGTACTACTGATAAGAAGTCTCATGTTGATCTAATTTTTTGTTCTTTGGTAAGTGAGTGGCTTACTTTTCTGTAGGGAATCTTCTAATAATTTCTATTGCCTTTGCTCTTCAATTTCGCTATAGTGTGACAAGGTTTTGGTATTT